TAACCCAATTACCCTCCTCCCATGTGTGGGCTGGAATTAATGAATAACTACTAATGAATAGAATATGGCTGAAATGATGGTGTATGACTTGCAATAGTAGTCCATAAAATGTATCATTGTTTCCTCCTTGTTCTCTCTTTCAGATCATTCATTCTGGGCAAAGCCAGTTGCTATGTCATGAGGATACTCAAACAGTCTTACAGTAAGGCATATGTGGTGAGAAACTGAGACTTCCAACTAAGATCCTTGTTAGCACCATTGTGGAAGAGGATCCTCCAGTTCCAGTGGAGCCTACACAGAACTGCAGATAACTTGACAGAGATTTTCATTTGACCAAAACTTTAGTGAGGCTCCTCTGAGTCCTCTGCTGACTAGGCCCCACTTCAGGCTTTCATGAATTTTGCTAAGTCAGTTTCAGGAAAGTCTCACATTCTGGGTAACTGACCACCCTTGTTAGTAAGTTAGGGGTATTAGAAATTCCACATCACTACGTTCAATCACGGATTGAAAAGAGGCTGAGCTACAGTCCTAGAGCTGATCAATTTCTTATTTGCCACTGAAAGCTTGTGATGTTTATCAAAGCCTCTTCTCCTTAGTGGTCCCTGAAGTCCAGCTTTTACTCTCTAGCCCATGAATCTAACTGAAGCTATAATTTTCTTAGCCTCTCAGCTGCTGATTCTGGAATTGGCAGATATCTTGGCATGAAAAATAATCCCCAATACAGACTTCTTCTTCCTTTTCTCGAGACAGAGCCTCAAGCTGTTGCCCTGGGTAGAGTGCCATGGCATCACAGCTCACAGCAACCTTCAACTCCTGGGATTAAATTATTCTCTTGCCTCAGCCTCCCAAGTAGCTGGGACTACAGGCTCCCACCACAAAGCCCAGGTATTTTTTGGTTGAAGCCGTAATTGTTGTTTGGTAGGCCTGAGCTGGATTTGAACTTGACAGCTCAGGTGTATGTGGCTGGCGCCTTAGCCACTTAAGCCACAGGCATGGAGCCCAGACTTACTTCTTTATGTTCCCTTTTCCTCTTGAATCTTGGCTTCTTAATGCTTCATTGCTCTTGGTAGCCCTCCAATACCCAAAACAGATGTTTTTTAAAATTCGTCCAGCTTTTCTACTATTTCTCAATAGGAAGATTAGTCCCAGTTACCTATTTTGAGATTACCTTATTAGCAAAGGTGGAATTCTTCCCAAAATAAATTTTCTAAAAATGTAAACTTGATTGTATCACTCACACTTAAATCCCTTTAATAGTGTAGCAAGATGTTTTCAGGTGTAAAGAACAGTGAACTTGATGAAATATGGTGTAAATTACAGGTTTTTTAATCTCATGTGGCAAGAAATTGGTTTAATTCAGTAGGGCACTGATGTCCTCAAGGACTCAGGTTTGTTCTATAGTTCCACTCTGCCATCTTGAATGTTTGGATGATTATTTACCCTTACAGTGGCAAAATCATTATTGGAACTCTGCACAGTCATGGCTTATATCTGGGTGGGATTGGTTCTAGGACCTCTTTGGATATCAAAATCCAAAGATACTCAATTTCCTTATACAAAATGGTGTAGTGTTTGCATATAACCCACACACATCCTTCTGTACACATTAAATCATCTCTAAGTTACTTCAATCACTTAATACAATGCAACCACTATGTAGTTATTATACTATATTTTATTTGCATTATTTTTTATTGTTGTATTGCTATTTTTATTTATTTACTTCAAATATTTTTGATCTATGATTGGCAAAATCCATGAAAGCAGAATCTGTGAATATGGAAGACCACCTATTTCTGAGTAACAAAATACCTCAAAATTTAGCACCTTAAAACAACAAACATTTATTATTTTACAGTTTTTGTAGGTAGGTCAGGAATTTAGGAACAGCTGTATTAGATGGTTCTGGCTCAAGATCCCTCATGAAATTGTAGTTAGTATGTTAGTCGGGGCTACAGATATCTGAAAGCTGGACGGGGACTGGAAGATCTACTTTAAAAACATCTCATTCACATGGCTGCTCACAGAAGGCCTCAGTTCTTTGATGGCTATTGACAGGAGACCTCAGTTCCTTACTAAGTGGGCTACTCTGTATGGCTCTTTGAGTATCACCATGATATGACAGTGGGCGTCCCAAAAGTGAAAAATTCAAGAGAGAGAATGAGAAGGAAGGTGCAATGTCTTCTATGGCCTGGTCTTGGAAGTCATCCATATTAACTTTCATCACATTGTATTCATCAGAAGCAAGTCACTAAGTACAGACCACATTCAAGGGGAAGAGGAGAATGAAGCTCCCTCTTTTGTATTGAGTAATTTGTAGACATTTGAAAACTACCCAAACCTTTAAATATAATATTCTTACAGGATAGCATCCCAAGCAAGAAGATGGGTGGGAGATGCAAAAGAAAAGCCATTGTTTCTATAATTACTTTCTCTTTCATCAAAGGATAATATTTCATAGAAATAGTTAGCAGACTTCCTCTTATACTTCAGTGGCCAAAATTGGGTCAATGCCGATGCCTTTTCCCAGATGAATACTTGACAAAGTGGAATGGGATTACCATGTTTATGTCAATAATGATTCATCCTTTGGAGTTGGGTGGTAAGCATTTGTTACTGGCTCAATACTCAATCAAATTAGATTTCCATTAGCAAGGAAGGTGGTGGTTACTGGGTAGGCAAGAGTGACTGCAATAGATGGCTTCCTGTTGCTCTTAGGATAAAAATCACATCATTAAGATGGTTGTAAGGCCCCAAGATCTGGCCCTTGCTTATCCTGACTCACCAACATAATTTAGACCTCTCTTCTCCCACATTTATTTTTCAGCAACACTGGACTTTTTATGTTGTGCCAGGCTCCTTCCCTCCTTAGGATCTTGGCATTTTTGCAGCTGCTTCAGATCTGTAGTGGATAAAGCTTTCTGGTCTTTAACAGCTTCAATGTCCTCATTTTCAAAAAGAGATAACAATCATACTTACTTCACTAAGATATTGTGAGGACTGAATGAGTCATGTATGTTCAGCCCTCAGCAGTGTCTGGCAAATAGTTAAGTGTTCAATAACTGGAAAGTATTGTTAAATCCAGACTGTCAGCTTGTGGGCTTGTTTTGTTTCCCAGCTGATGTTCTTTCTCACAATTATATCTTATCCAAAAATAATTGCTTCCTACTCCCACAATAACCTAGCTGGAATGAAATAAGCGCTAAATGTACCCAGACCTGATTATGGGAAGGCCAGGTGGCACATCCAGGCCTCAAATTTGGACTCATTTGAAAGTAACTCCAAGGAGTTATTTACCAATGAGGTTTCCCATAATATACAGTAACAAGATTGAAAGAAATTGCTGCTTCTCTTGTAACTTTATTATTATTATAGAGACAGGGTCCCACTCTGTACCCTGTGCTAGGGAGCAGTGGTGTCATCACAGCTAGTTGAAACCTCAGGCTCCGGGGCTCAAGCAATCTTCCTGCATTAGCCTCTGAGTAGCTGGGACCATAGGTGCATGGCTAGTTTTTCTATTTTTTGTAGAGAGGCAGTCCTGCTCTTGCTCTGGCTAGTCTTGAGTCCTGGCCTCAAGCCATCTTCCTGCCTCAACTTCCCAAAGTGCTGGATTACTGGCATTACCCACTGTGCCTGGTCTATTTTATAACTTTAAATTTATGTTTTACTTGTGTCTTACTATCAAGGTAGTATGAATTAATATTTTCCTACATCTTCCCTGAACCTTAAGTGCCATACTTGGGAAATTTTTAGTTTCTGACTCAATTACCTCCTTTCAGCTAACTCTTCATTGTGGCATCTGTAATATAGCAGTACAATATAGAGTATGGACTCTAGTTACAGGCTGCCTAGGTTTGAATCTACCACTTACCTGAAACCCTACACGTCACTAAATTTCTTTGTCCATTACTTCATCGTCAAAATGGGGATGACAGTACAGTACTTCTGAATTTTGTAAACATTAGTTAATAAATAAAAAAATGCTATTGGGCGGCACCTGTGGCTCAAAGGAGTAGAGTGCCGGCCCCATGTACCAGAGGTGCTAGGTTCAAACCCGGCTCCAGCCAAAACACTGCAAAAAAAAAAAAAATGCTATTATGCCATAACCAGAACAATTAGACGGAACATTTCATTATAAAAAAGGCAGGGGTGCCTGTAATCCTAGCACTGTGGGGGGCTGACGAGGGTGGATTGCTTAAGCTCAGAAGTCCGAGACAAGCCTGTGCAAGAGCAAGACCCTGTTTCTGAAAACTAGCGGGCATTGTGGCGGGTGTCTGCAGTCCCAACTACTTGAGAGGTTGTGGCAAGAGGATTGCTCAAGCCCAAGAGTTTGAGGTTGCTGTGAGCTGTGATGACACCAAGGCGCTCAACCTAGGGCGACAAAGTGAGAGTGTCTCAAAACACACAGACACACAGAGAAAAAGGTGGAGGGGCAGAGAGGACCTGGGAACTTCTGAGAGATCTCGATTATTAAGTAAGCCTTGTGTAGCCGAAATCCACCTGGAAGAGCCGATAAATCAGAGATTTTCAAAAGCAGGTGCATTTGCATTGATCCTGGTAGGGCTGCCCCAAATTCCACAGAATGGGGGTGGTGGTAGCGCTTTTCCTTAAGTAGTCATTGCTCGCGCAGCACTGCAGCGGCTCTGGGCTCGGTTCCAGAGGGTGCTAGGGAAACTCGGCAACTGCAGCCCTGGGCAGCCCATACTTCCACTTCCATCCGTAGGGCCAACCGGCTCCCGGCCGCGGCACAAGCTCGCCTTGGTGCCACCTCCAGCCCCGCCCATAGTCAGGAAATTTCGCAGCGGCTGGTGGCGTGCAGGACGTGACAAACGAAAGCAACACGTCTTGCCAGTCCCCCTAGCAGACAGACAGCGCCAGGGAACAATGGCAGTGCGGCGGCCCCTTTAGGCTGTGGCCAATAGGCTACAGCTCTCTCAAGGCACCAGGAGTGGCGGCCCGGAAGGGGCGGTGTGGGAGGCAGGGCGTGTGGGGGCGGAGCTAAGGGACTCGGCACTTTTCACGCGTCCTGTGTGCAGGTCGGCCGCGTTTTCCTCTGGTTCTGAGTCTCCCCAGCCTCTCACACGCGCTGTATTGCCAAAATGTCGCTTTCCAGCAAGCTGACTCTGGACAAGCTGGATGTGAAGGGGAAGCGGGTCATTATGAGGTAATTCTGCATTTCTGCTCACGCGCCCTAAGGGCTTTGCTTGGAGCTCCTTGGCCCGGGCCAACCGACTTTATTTCCTGTTGCTAAAAGTTGGTTTTAGCTGTCGGCTGGGCCCCAGGGTTCTTAGGCTTGTAGCGCGAGGCTGTCCTCTGTTGTAGCTGAGGCTATGCACAGGCACAGGTTTAATGTTTCTTTAACTGAATTTCCCTCATCCCCAGAAGCAGCCAAAGTCACCCTTTGGGGATGAATCCCACTGAGGAAGGGCTCATGATTCCAGGGCCCCGTTTTAACCTATGCCAATTCTTGAAACACAGTTCTGTCGCCTCCAACTCCCAGTCGGGGAGGTGGGACTTAATGCTTAATCTTGAAAATCTCTAGGCCGCAGGGAAGGGACCTTGAAAGGTCATTTGGTTAATTTCCTTTTCCCCACGGTCCTAGACCGTCCTAGAAGAATGAGAAAGGGCCCACATTTCAGAGGTCCCTGTACAAAAGGTTATCTTTCTCAGATGATGTTGGTTTAAATGTTCAGGAGTAGAACATTCCCAAAGAATTTGGGGTGGTCGGGTAGGGCGGGGCCCACCTGAGGAGGCCCTGCGGAGCTTATGTAACAGGCCTTTGCTGCTCTACAAGTCTGCTGTTGGCCTTTGCATCAAGATTGCTATACATGCTGGGTAATGGTAGAGCAGGGTGTGGCTGCTCATAGTTGCTGTCCTCTAACCTCACCCCTACACGTGGCTAGAGAAGCAGGATATTAGAAGTGAGGAAGTCTCCCCATGCACTTTGAGGTCTCACCCTGTTCACTTTCCAACATAGCTTCTCCTTTATCTGCCAGAATAGCTAGTGTATGGAGCTTTTACATTTATCATTTTTTTAATGTGGTACATTTGTGTATGTCAGAAACAAAGTACAGGTGGATGGTCATGTATGTGATTATCTTGACTTCATATACCTAGACAGGTGGTGTTTTTGAGAGGCCGTAAGGGCTTGCATTGCTTGTGTTGTGCATTTTTGACCTTTTGGGAATTGGTTGATTGATGGGCAGGCATGTGAATAGCGTGCTCCAGTCCCTTTCTCAATTTGGGCTAGTTCAGATGAGGGCATCTTTTGGATATTAACAGACATGTAAGTCAGTGGGGGATCTCCATTTACTCGAGCTTTATGAGGGTACTTATCCTAAAAGTACACCTTGACCTCTAATTTCATTATGGGAACGTTAGGCTTTTTAAGGTAGTCTTTTCTGTCTTGCTGTGGAGATAGGCAAAAGAACCCAGTGGCGTATGTCCATAAGAAATACCTGGTGTCTGCATTTCCCTAAATGTCATGGACCTTTATAATCTGAACACAGTAGGAGTAACAGCCGTCCTAACATTAGATAAATGTCCTTTCTGTCCCTCATATGATCCTAAGGAAAGGAGATAGATTCTATTAAAAAAAAAATACAGGACAGGTGAACGTTATCATACAACTAGCTTTTAGGTTTTAATTATTTCTTCCAAACTCTTTTGGGTTCAAGACTGACATTTCCAGATTCATGTGCCAGCTGAAAGACAAGGAGTGGGACATCATTCTGGTCACTTTCCTATGATTGCAGTCTTGTGCTTTATCTTTTTTCTCCTCAGGGAAACTGGCTTGAGTAATTAACTGGACTGGCTGAAAGTGGGAATGGACTAGGAGCTTATCTTTTTCTTCCCTCTGTGCCTAATATAGTTTCATTTAACACATGTTAATCTTGAAATGATTGGCTAGTTCTGTTTTGCTGGTGGAAAAAATGACCTGTTCAAGGTTACTGGACTTCCAAGTTGGTGTCAGAGCCAGGACTAGAATTTGGATCTTCTGGACTACCAGCCAGATCCTCCAAATACCCAGACATAATGACCAAGGACAGGTTGAAATAGACCTTTTGTCTGCTGAAGTTTGCAATTAATAGTTTACCCTGTAATGTGGATAAATTCCACTTAATTAGCCTGAGGACAGGAAGTTACTTTGTTCCCTGATTATTAATGTAACTATTGAATAGAGAGTCACATTGTACGCCTACTTTTTGAGGGGGAAAGGGGCTAGGAAGTCATCCAGGTGTCAGCTCAATTTTTGCTTTATTGCCTTTATGTGGTGGCAGCATTTCAGAAATGGGGCTAGCTAAGTAAGTACTGGCTGTTTCACTTGTCTTCTTTCTTTGTCCTGTGGAAGGGAACTCTGGGACTGGCTGACTGTTCTGGTCCCCTTGTTTGAATTGCCAAGAGAGATTATCTATTGAGGGAATTGTAGGTAGCCAGAAACCTCTGGATAATTGCCTACCAGATTCTATCTTAGTTTTTTAGGAGTCCAGTTGACTTTACAGCCTCTTTGAGAAAACTTCTCTTTATTTTTTATGATGTTATTTCCTTTCTTTCTTTTGCAGGTTGCCTGCTTGTGAAGTATTTCCCTTTTGCTTGTTTCCTCTTGTGTTTTTTTTTTTTTTTTAACCTCACTGGTTTTCATTAACTTGTTGTAACTTGTTAAGAAACAACTTTGATGTAGTGGAAAGAGAAACAGAGAGGAAAAACTGAAAGTAGAGGGGAAAAAAAAGTCTCAAAGGTAGCCATAATACAGCAATTTTCCAGTCAAGCAATGATGGATATGGTTCCTTTGTTTTTAATGGAGGAACATGGAATCCAAAATTTCAGGTGATAGAGACTTGATGTTTTAACTAAGTCATTATTTTTTAATGTTTTATTTTGAAATAATTATAGATTCACAGAAGATTGCAAAGTTAGTAGTTAGTACACAGTCTTGTATTAACCTAATTTCCCCCAATGAATAGGTTTTACATAATTATATAATATTATGTAAAATTATTACATAATATCAAAAGTAGGAAATGTACATTGGTATAAAGTAGCTATGTGTAGTTCTATGCCATTTGTCATATGTTGATCACTAGTGTTTGTAAAATTTTGTCATTCCAAAACACAGAATGTAACCTTTTGGGATTTTTTTCACTCAGCATAATGTCTTCAGGATTTATCCAAATTTCACATGTATCCATAGTTTATTCCTTTGTATTGCTGAATAGTTTTCTGTTGTTAAATGTGTCATAGTTTAACCATTTATCCATTGAAAGACATTTTCTTTTAATCTATTTCAAATAAAGCTTCTATGAACATTTCATGTACAAATAATGGTATGGTGTTTTTTCTCATGGGTAAACACTTAGGAGGGGAATTTCTAGGCCATATTTAATCTTTTGAGGGGTTTTCCAGACTGTTTTCCAAGAGGCTGTACCATTTCCATTTCTATTAGTAGTGTATAAGTAATCAGTTTCTCTGTATGCTTACCAGCATTTGCTGGTGTCTGTATTTTTTATTGTAGTCATTTCTCTTTCTTTTCTTTCTTTCTTTTTTTTTTTTTTTTTTTTTTTTTTGAGACAGAGTCTCATTTGGTCACCCTTGGTAGAGTACTGTGGCATCTTAGCTCACAGCAACCTCAAACTTTTGAGGTTCAATCTATCCTCTTGCCTCAGCCTCCCAAATAGCTGGAACTACACGTGCCTGCCACACTGGCTAGTTTTTAGAGATGTGGTCTTGCTGATGGTCTCTGAACTCATAAGCTCAGGCAATCCACCTGCCTCAGCCTTCCCAGTGCTGGTATTACAGCTGGCTTTGTAGTCATTTTTCATTAAGATGTGAAAGCATAAATGACTATGTGTTTGAAGGAAAGCTTGGGAGTATTTCAAGGAAAACTTGAAGAGTTCCCTTTCCTTCCTTGTGGAAAAGGAAGAGGTGCAAATTTCACATAAAATGAAATGCGTAGAAAGTGTAGGCAAGAGCAGTTCCTGTATTGGAATTCTCTGAGGAGAAACTAAAAGCAGAGTTGTTGTTGAAGTAATCCAGAGGGTAGTGAGAAGAGAGTACAAATCAGTTTTTCTCAGTAAGCTGATTCCAGGTAGCTTGGTTAGATGATACAGATTCTTAAGCATCTATGTCTAAAGAATTTCCCTCCTGTAAGTGTCTGGAAATAAGAAGTGGCTTGACAAGGAGTGTCTGGTGCTCATCCTATTGCCATTAACCCTTTAAGCATGGGAATTCTGGGAGGCTGCATGGGGGAAAATGGCCTATGGTAATGTGATACTCTGTCTTCTTTGGAATGTATTTTAAGGCTGGCAAGGGCCTGTTCTAGATATTTATAGAAGATGCTTAGAATCAAGTGGCCTGAAACAAAATAGAGTGTATTTTTTCTAACAGCATACTGCCTTTAATTTTGAAGTCTTTCTTTAAAATGTTTTAATATAGAATTATTTCCCTCAACCCACCTTTGGAAAGACTGCTCTGCAGTGATATATATTGGAGCTCAGGCCAATATACCTCACTGCAGAGCAGTCTGTCCAAAGGTGGTCTTCTCAGTAGGTCTGTAGGATTTTGTAATTTTCTACTGGGCCTCAGCCTTAGAGGAAATGGGGTAATGAAAAAGCCAGAGGAAAAAGATGGAGATTTATGGTCAAGGACAGCAATAGTTTTGACTAGTTACGCTAGCTGTTTTTAGTAATAGTTGATATACCTTTCAAATCACAGAATTACCTTTTGGAGAAGCATTAACATATGTAATAATAGCCAGTACTTTTATGGCACTTAGTATGTGCCAAGTACTCTTCTAAGCACTTTACATATTACTTATTCAATTCTCTCAATAATCATAAGGTAGTTACTGTCATCCCCATCCGATAGCTGAGAAAAAAGTTACTTAAGCCATCAACTTCAGAGCACTCAGAAATGAAAAGTGCCAGTGCGAGCTTGTAACAATTGCAAAAGCTGTTAACGATACTTAACGCGCTCCTGGACATACTTTGGTTTCTTACTAATCAAAATAATTTACCTAAGCTGTTTTTGGTTTCCACTAGTTGTACAAATTATTTCAGGCACAACAGTGAAAAATGCTGAGAATGGAGGGTATAATGTATACAAACTCAAGTCAGGTAACATAACAGTAACGTGTAGGCAAATTTTTATTTGCAAAATGAATACCTACAGGCATCATTTGCACCAAACAAACGTCTTGTTTGAACACCTATAGATGTTCGCAGTCAAAAGGTTAAAAATGATCTTGGCAGCCAAACTTAGACCTTAAAAATAGCTGCCACACATCATTGTTGTCAGTTATGCTGAAGTAGGTTGAGGTTCCAGGGAGTTCAGGAGAATTGGTTCTTAAAAAATGGCAAAGCAGGCTCGGCGCCTATAGCTCAACCGGCTAAGGCGCCAGCCAC